ATATACTCAACCTCACAGCCCAGGCCTTTTTATTTGGCGCCAATAAGGAGACTCTTGAGGCCAAATCTAACTACTACTGGCTTATTAACTATTATGATGATAATCTTGACCTCTGGTGGAGGCTTGGGCCTATTGGCTGGCTCCGGAACATTATTAAGTACGTCTGGGCCTCTCTGCAACGGACTAAACGGTACCGGAAGGCTATAGCTGAGATTAATAGCGACTCTGCTGACTTCTAGATCTTCTCTAAGTCGTCTCATGAGGCCCAGCTTATCCTGAATAACGACACTCGCTAGAACAGTACGTACCTTATAATTAAGAGGGCTATAAAGAAGAAGAATAAGATCTAGTCTTTTATACTATTAAATAATAATAATAATAACGTTAAAAAGCATATCCTAGAAGCGGATCTATTGTCTTCTAACGACTAGAAGGTTCTTGCTGAGATAGGTATGATCCTAGAGCCTTTTTATTATTAGACAAAGAGGTATAAGGGCTGGGGGGTTGGTGATAGGCATAGTTGACTTTGGGAGGTCACGATGGGCTTGGAATACCTCCTTTTACACCTCATCAACTAGAAGACTTACTATAACTCCACAATCTCTCCTAATAATCCTTTTGAGGAGTTGCAGCTATTATAAACCTATTTAGGACGACCTCAATGTAGTTAGTATAACTAATAAGCCCTCCCTAATTACGTACGTAAAGACTGGGCATCTCTAGTCTCTTAGGTAGCCTTGCAATTTGACTCTCTTGACGAGCAGTAGTAAACCTTCCTCTATAGTAGTATTGAGCAGTTGTGGTAGAAGCTCTTTTACTACTATAATAGGTTAGGGGACTCCCTACTGCTTTCTAGTGCGATTATCCTCTATCCCGCATTTGGGATCTCCTATTTATGAGACGTATGGAGTGGTGACCACTAAGAGGGATGGGTCGAGAAGGCTTAGAACACCCTCATAGAGTACTTTAATAAGTAGTATTATTAGTATGGCGCGGAAGAGGGTATCCCCAGCCCTACTAGCCCTGCCGTTGACTATGAGGCTTGGGATGATGATGACACTCACTTCCAGTAGTGGGTTAATAGCTGGCGCCAGTAGACCCTACCCCGGATGGATGAGCTCAATCTATACCTCCATCAACCTCTAGAGAAGACCTCTAATCCCGTCTGGTGGTAGTTGGACCATTTAGAGACCTTCCCGGCGCTCTCCCGGCTTGCAATTAACGTCTTCACCGTGCTGGCAATAGCGGCTAACTATAAGAGGGCTTTTAGTACTATAAAGTTAACCCTCACGTCGTAGAGGATGAGGATGAAGCTGGATACTATAGAGAGGCTCTAGCTGTTAAAAAACTAGATAAAAAGGGGGGTTATACTACTAAATAACAGCTTTAGATTGCTAGGTATATTATAAATAGCTTCATTATATAGGTCACATATTTTTATATAGTAACTTAAATTAACCTATTTATAAGTTACCTAAATAACTAAAAACTCCAAGAAAAATCTTATCAATAGCAATTTTGTGGGTCAAAATTAACTTGATTGCACTTACGGCAACGCTGACCTAAACACCACATCAAGTGCCGGGAGTTGACACTGCGCAATGTTTCGAGCGTCAGAAATCAAACTTGAGTCCAGACCGGAGTATGAATGGCACCGTTCCAGACCCATATTATCCATAACTGAGCCCATCACAAAATTCGATATCGGTCAAGGAAACCCCCAGGGAGCCTCTCATCGGACGGAACTCTTCACTCCATGTACTACGGTCCTTGCACTTACGTCGTTAGAGTATGTTATCGACTTCCACCTCGATTGACTGGAAGGCCGGTTCGAACGCATTTGATCCATTGATTGAGGCTGTGTGAAGTATCAAATAGTTCTGTGGAGCCGCGCATCCTGCCTTTGCTGGTTTGCTCACCGAGATCTCACATCGCCAGACGCGCCGAAGGCATGTTATTGACAGCCCGTTTCATTTCCATAGGTACATCTACCACATTTGGCAAGCTGTCGTTGAATCCAGTGGGTTTTGATGGCAGTCGGTTGTATTCTCAACAAAAGCCGGAAAGACACGGGAATATCCACATCCACGCATTGGGAATCACGGAATCGTGGAAGTTGCAAACTGTGAAGCCAGCTCCCTGTTGTTCTCGATATAGCTGACTCTAAGGTTGGGAAGATATTCCTGAACCCTGCTCCCCCTTTTACGGGCGTTGAAGTCCGCCTGGGTAGCTTTCATTCCGGGCCCGCTCAGAGAAGCGTGGACTCTATGCCAATTCTGCTCGGTCTTTCCAACTTGCTTCTCAAAACCCACAATACGGCCTTCATCTCATCATCTGACTGGTAGCTATCCTGAAAAAAACCGACCGAGTTTGACGTTGGAGTGAGTTGCACATGAATATCCTGAACTGTATCGGTCCTCCTCTCAAATACCAGCTGTTCCAGTGAAGCACGGCAAGCGAAAAGAGAAGCTTATGTATGAGACGTGGAACCGTGTCCTGGGATGACCTTCACCTCATCTTGCTTTTCGTAAAGCTTTTTGAAAGGAAGGTGATGATTCCGACAAGATCCTCAGGCGAGCACCTTGTCATGACGTGCGGAAATTCCGGGACTGCGATTCTCGTGTGAGATGGGACTCGCGGATAGAAGAGCAGCAATGCATATTGTTCACATCTTAATATAAAGTTTGACGTGACTGCCTGGCAGCCTTTGCACATTGCGGGCTTGGAGGATATGGAGGTCGATGTCGCAGGACTCGGCTCCCTCCTGAAGTCGTGGCCGTGTACGAGCAGAAATGGTTGAATTCCGGGACTCGCTCCGTCTCCGGAATAATGCCTCGAATCGATCCCTTTTCGTCTTGCGCTTTTGTCCTCACCTGTTGCCAGTCGAACACGACCATCACCGATCTCGAACAGGGTCGACCTTAGGTTTATTTGGGTCGACCTTGGCCTTATTCAGGTCGACCTTAAATTTGGTCGACCTTGGGTTTGGTCGACCTAGGTTATCTCAGGTGAGCTTGGTCGACCGTAGGTTAGGCCGACCTGCCCTTGGTTTAGCCGACCTTGACTTGGGTGGGGGCGACCTCAGTATCCTTCGTCTGTTCGGGCAATCGGCGCCTTATGCCGCAACCCGCCGCAGCAGCATTATCGATCATAAGATTAGGAAGAGATGGAAAGTCGGCTCACGGAGAACGGGATGTTTAGACGGGAACACGATGCCAAGAGGGCATGGAATGCTGGGAGGGTAGGCGATCAAGTTGACGAGACGGCACGCCAGCCGTCAAACTCTGTTCATGATGAAGATGTGAGGCTCTCCAGGTCGCGAGATTGTAAAAGAGGGTATCTTTATGGTTCTTTTGGAATTGCTTGAAGCTCACACGTCTCGCCGTTGGCTTTCAGTCTCCTTCAGCATGAGTCAATTACCACGTTGAACAGATGTGGCAGCCATTCAATTCGAAGCGAGGCTGGTGGAAGCTCACATTCACGACGCCTCTGATTGAAAAGCGAGTGGGCCGGCACCAACGCGACCAGGTCAAGGCCGATAAGAACCTCAATATTCATTTGAACATGATTCAGCACGCTGTAAATGATGGCATTCACGTTCTTGGGGAATATGAATTCCCGGGAAGGAAAGTATCCCAAGTTCGTGAGGTGCAAGTAACGTCGATCGCGTGGCCACAACGGAGGATCGAGAAGCCTCCCCTCCCGCGCAACGAACTGCACCCTGGAATTGCAGCTCTGCCTTCTCCGCCGCTGCATCCCGCATGAGACGTCGGGCGGCACGTAAATTTCGCTGGCGTATTCACAAGATGCGTGCTGCTCAGCTCTGCCCGAGATGCTTAAGTGAATTTGTCCGCTCCTGCATCGGGGGATTCTACGGGAGTTCGCGAGGGGCACTGGCTCAAAATTCGATAATTCGATTTTGGCGGTCATGGACGCTGGACCTTCTGTGACCATTTTTAGTGGTCACACCCTCTGCCATTGCTTTAGCGGTCATGCACACCTCCCATGACCGTTCTTATGCGTGATGGGCCTAATAAGGTATAGACGCTGAAATTCAAGCTTGACCATTGGCTAGAAAAAAGCTGACTAAGGCTCCCACGGACGCGCACGGACCATATACTCCCAGCTGTGACCTGATTTTCAGGTCACGCAATCTGGAGGTACCGAGGTGCCTAGGAACCTAGGAGCTGTGACCTCGCAACGAGGTCACGGCAGCTGGGTCCCGTCTTGCGGTCATGGATTTTTCTTTTCGCTGAGGTGCCCACTGCGACCGCCCACTGCAACTGCCTCCTACGACTCCCAAGCGCGCGCACGTCGCCTTTTGGGCCAGAGCTACGCAGAGCGGTAGCCATGTGGGCTGCATCAACAAAAGGCGATTCTGCCACGGTGCGCGTAGTCCCCAAAGTCGATCTTTGAGGCAGTGCCCCTCGGGAACTGCCGTACGATTCCTGGAATTATGCAAATAGCTGACTTTAGCTTCCGGGCCGCTTCTGCGTAACTGAATCACCCCAAACAGTGAAATAGCCCCTCAGGTAGTCATCGAGCTCCTGCCTTCCTGGGAGCTTTCTCCGACTTGCAGCCCTGTTTCCAACGTTCCGGCAACCTCAGCTCTCACTCTTACCACACTGGGCAGATTTTCTTCGCGTCGCCTCGCAGCAACGACACAACGAACACAAAATACCGGAAGTCTTTCCCGACGCCATCCGTCATCCTCAAACGCCTGCGTTTTTTGCTCTCTCCAGCGCCGTCCAAAGTTCCGGCTTGACACGGCAAGGCCTGCCAAGAGATGTGCGACTCTCTATCGACGCCGTCGTTCCAGAACCAAGGTTGTAGGCGTCATACCTCTACTCTACTCCAGCACTGAAAATTGAAATCCCGCCGCCGAACGCAGCCCCTCGCTAACCCTTCCTTGGACTAGACCACGATCGCACATCCCACTTCAACGAGATACACTGTCTAAAGCAGAACAATCCATAATATTTCCCTGCCTCCAATCCGATCTGGTCCCCCACCCTCGCATTCACTTCTCTCTCGACGCCTACGCCCCTACGATCTCTGCCGCCGAGGTCGCCGCCGAGGCCAACCACACCGGGGATTCTCATATCTTGCTTCGAGCCCAACAACAGACAGTCAACCACGCCCCCCGCCACGGCAAGTACATGGCCACTTCCTTGCTGTACCGCGGTGACATCGTCCCCAACCCCAACGACCACCACGCCGCTGTCGCTACCCTTAAGACGAAGCCCACCATCCAGTTACCGATCTTCTATCTTACCACGACAAGATCCTGAGCACCGCCGAACCTCTACCGAGCCTCCAATGTCGGACATGACCCGAGCCTGACGCGATGAAGCCGCCAACCTTCCACGCAGCAACTCAGATGGTTCCTCTCTGCACTCGATTCTAGTCTCCCGGAAAGACAAGGCCGACTTTGCGTCCAGCCAGCTGGCGTTGTCGGTGGAGGTCAGCTAGGTGGCTTTGGCAGTCGTTGACTAGGCGACGGCAAGTTGCCCGCAACAGAACAAGTATGATCCCCGATCCTCGTCGTCGAATGGTGCTGACAGAGGAAAAGTGACCCAGGTCTCGTTCGCAAGGGGCAAGAGATCCTCGGGATATTCTCGATGCCGCCCTGTTGGTAGCATCGTCGGCGTCACCGTCAGCAACTTCGTCGACATCCTTTTCTTTATTATTCTCATTGTCCTCGCCCTCATCCTCGCCCTCGCCATCGTCCGCGCCGTCCGCGCCGTTGTCGTTACCGTCGTCGTAACCAACATTTGTGGTGTCCTCGGTCTCAGCATTCTTGGTGAAGAGGACCCCGACCTCCTCGTCTGTCCTGGAGCAAACCCCATCCTCCTCGTCTCGGCGTCAAAACGGCAGACATCTTCTCGATACCACATATCTACGGGGAACATCATCCAACAGCTCAACCGTCTGAGCTCGCGCGCACGACCGCGGCTTGAGACGTACTTCACATTCAACTCGAACAAGGATTTGTGCAATTTGTCAAGAACCGGAGGCGTCCCTGACTGCCACAGGCCTTTGTTGGTCTCTCTACGTTCAGCGCTGCCATCGCTCCCGGACGCATGTTCGGCAGGACATGAGCAACCCCGTTTTGGGAGGTGGGCAAGCGGACGAACCTAGTGTGGACTATGGGGCACACTGTACGATGGTTCTGCGCTGGGCTACGGGTAATACGATCTTGTACTGGTGCCGCAGGACACGACGAGCCGTCCCGGACGGTGATCGGGTGGAGTATGGGAAGCCGTCACCGAACGTGCCAGACACTACGATTTCTTGTGGGGAACACTACGCCGATGATGCCTTCGCGGGACTCATGCCTCATTGTTCTCTGCGTCAATCCTGCCGTTTTGGCACACAAACAACGCAAACCCCTTGATCTTGTCCAGGGGATCAACTCGGGAAACTGCCCATCTTCAACCTCGTTGAATCGTCGTCGTCACTTCAATCCACCCTTTCCCCTTTCTGTGACGGAACCTGGGAAGCGGAGTGCAACGAAGCAACCACCATCAGGCGGCATCGCGGTCAAGATGCTTGTGCTTCCGCAGCAATCGAGAGCTTCACTAGCCGTGGTAGAGGCTGAGTCAAACTGGAATGCCGAGTACACAGGCCTGCCGAAACTACGGGCGAAGGTGCTGCTTACCTTGAGCTTCTCTAGAAGCAGGTTGCAACCCTCCGCCGCGATGATGCACAGACTTCGCCATGCCATGAACAACGCCATTCGGCACACCACTGGCCAATCTCGGTTGTCCGCTATACTCCATTGCAACCAAGGACACGATTCTGAACTCCAAAACCAACGCCGACGCAGCGAAGCCAATTTTCTAACATGATCATGGCCTTATCTCCTGACACTGCCTGCAATGAGTCGCTCCGCCAGGTCAACGAAAGCTGGAAACTGTCTTGGTCACCGTTTAACACACGGCGAGAACATTCGAACAAGGGAAGGACATGGCTGGAGATCGACACAGTTTCGATCTAGAAGGGCGGGATCAAGACTGTTATTCACCAGCACAGAGCACCGAGGGGGAGACAAACTGGCGAGTCGGCGCAACTTGGGACTTCAAAACGCCACCTGTTCTCGAATGATCTCGGGCGTGGGAAGGCTGCTCTTGGAAGAAGAACGAACTGGGCATGAAGCCGTCTGTCGGTCACCCCAGCTCACGCATCTGCACAGCGGACTCCTGTGCCGCTGGATGTAACATGACCGCCCAATCACTCAACGACAGGCGTGAGCAATCGAACCGGGAAACATCTGCACCTTCTTCTCACGATACTGCGCCGACCGCATTGTCTCCGCAATTCGAATGTCGGCAACTTCCCGGCACATCAGAAGCTCATCCCTCCACTTCCGCTTCCACCGCGGCAGGCGCAACAACCTGACCATCAGCACCCACGTCCGCCAACAATACCACCAGCCGCACGCCGCAGTCGGCTGACGATCCGCCTCGCTCAAGACTACTACAACTGTTCCGCATGACATGCCCATGTAGCTGGCGAGGCAGAGAATTCAGTGTGCCGAAGCTTTCGGAGGCGGGTTAGGGCGACAACGCGCATCTGGTCCCACAGCACCTGCTTTCTTGTTGTTTCGACATCGACGCCTGCACGGTCAAGGTCGAACTGGCGAGAGATATGCCACTGGGGACCCTCAAGCAAGCGTTTGTTGAGAAGGTCTCGCCGATGCCGTTGTCAACAATGGCCCGACAGACGTACGCATCCGCGGCAAGCTTGTTCCCTCCTTGAAAAGGGAATTGCCGCACGCAATGAGAGTTGTGGTCCAGAAGTCCCGAGGGAGAGACTTTCTTGAGAGGCTTCCAAGGCAGTCGCTGCGGCGCACTTCTGGACACGAAGCCCCAGGCCCATGCAACGAGATTTGAACCGCCCTCGAGACACCTCATTGCCAGAATTGCATGTCACACTTGGCGCCAATGCCCGTCTCTTTTGGAGTCATGTCCGACTTACCCGAAACTCGCATTCTCCAACATTGTCGACCAAGGGTGCGTTTTCTGGTCTGCAAATTAAGCGGTTTCTCTTGCTAACCCATACACCGGATTATTCTACGCCTGTCCGGAATCCTCGCATCTCAAGTCCTTCCTACTCGTCGGCATCAGCTGCAGTATCTGGCATGCTGGGTGGGGAAGCTCGAGACTCTTGCCAACTTCCGGGGCTCAGAGCAGTGGTCGCCGACCAACCGAGCCCGTTTTCGAGGAGCAATTTCGAACCTACCTTCTTCGACTGGGAGCAGCTTTGAATGCTCGCCAATCTTGTTTCTCCACGACAGAGGCGAGCTACAGGCAACGATCGGCGGTACCTTCTCCAAATACGACCTTTCAGATTGAACAACTGCAAAAGGTCTCTGGAGACAAGGCGCATGATGGCTACTTGCAGTAAAGTGCCGGACTTCATGGGATATCTACTGGGGTTTGCATTGAATAACTGGTGAGTCTCCTGGCTGATCTCTTGGTTGATGTGTCCTTGTTGGAGGACTACTGAGGGCAAGACTTTTTGGAGCAATTAGTAACCAAGAGACAGGTGACAGAGCACCGCATTACGACGAGTGACTCTGGCTCCGGAAGCAAGAGGAAACGTGGCAATGGGGGCGAAGTACGATTACCAGCGTCTGGCCTGGAGATCCGTGGCAAGAAGACTACCAAGGCTCCTGTTTTGGTCCTGAAACCATGCATTCTCGATCTGTTCATTGGAGCGGGGGAACCGTCGATTCATTCCATCTTCAACAAGAGTTCAGATCATCGGATGGAGAAGTCCGCGTTGGAATCGGTCTATTGACACATCGGCATGCAATAAAGTTGTCGTCAAAGGACCGAAGAGCTATAGGGGGCCAGAGAGCAGCGGCCCACCCAAACGCTGACAGGAAAGGTTCCTCAATGTCGAAAGAAAGCAAGAAGGAGGTCAAGAAGGAGGTCAAGAAGGAGGTCAAGAAGGAGATCACGGAGGAGGTCTAGGACGTGGCGGCGAAGGAGGCCAACAAGGAGCCGAGAATAAGACGGAGGATAAGGCCAGTGACGAGACTGATGTTGCGTTCGTACACAAGCCGGTCGGGGGCCATGGACGGCGAGAAAAGATTTCAGCCCTGTGGTCACCATTGCTAGGACCCGGTTACGCGGACCGAAGAATGAAGACAGGATGTACAGTTGAGTAAGGAGAGAATCGGTTGTCATCTCCACGTCAATTCGTCTTGATCATGTTACTCTCAAATATGCTTCCGGCAAGGAGATGAAAAAGCTGTGCGTGCCATGGAACAGGACACTTTGACGGTCATGTCCCCTCACGTTGCCATGTCACGCGCTCTATCATTCCTCTTCACCCATTTTGATGCTGCTACGAAATCCCTTACGGTAACTGTCTGATTCTCCCCCACACGTGTCTTCTTCCACCCTCGCGGTGTATTGACTTGCATCTGTATGATGACTGGCACCATCAAGGAGCCTTTCAATACGTACCAACCGTGGTGATGTCACCGCCGAATATTTGTCAACAATCTAAACCTCTCGGCCACCTTCCACATCGTGATGTAGCGAGGTTCTAACTGGAGATCAACCCGCAGTAAGTCCATTAGTCACCCACAATATCACGTCACCAAGTTCCATAGACCCAATCGAGACGATGACGGAAAGTGTCAAGTAGTACCCATCCTCCCCAAAACGAGGCACGTCAAGGCCCATTCGCCTCGTTCTCACCGAAGCGACGTAGGTGTCTAACATTCTACGACTTCGTCGTTTTATTCTACAACTCCTCTGTCTCCCATTCTCTTCACTCGAGCACTTTCGGCGCTTCTCTTGTTCATGTATTTATTGTTCAACATCGTCTCCGTTTCCTCGGTGTCTTCTTCGGTGTGCGCAATCTCGTTCTCGGAATCTATCCCTCAACAGGCGACCCCGCCACCCCGTTACCGACAATACGCTCTTTCTAGCCTTAGGCTGCTGTGCTGACTTCCTCGGCGTTTCCTGTTCGCAAGAAACCGGGAGACCGTCTCAGATCCCACCAAGGTCTCGGTCTTCAACGCGGCCGTCGATATGTGTACTCGCGAGCATCCAACCTGTCTCGTACTACAATCAGAACCCATCCGGCGTCTCTGACATCGTCATGTGGCGAGTTATCGGGAACATGAGCTTCACGTTGGAATCTCCGGCAGGCTTTGTTGTCCGTGCCCAATGCCATCCGTCTTATTCAGCGTCTCATAGTTGCTCCGTCCGGAATGTGATCTTCCGGATTGGCGATATCGATGTTGCGATCACGGGCCGGGATCCACCAACGCCATGGGAAGAGGTCATCCTCGTTTCCGGGCGGACTGCGACTCTAACGGCCGACGTAGTCGAGATTCTAGAGACCATGCGCGAGGCTATTTATGCCTCCTGGTAGCATGTGGACGACGACGGCATTGGCGGGGAGGGCTGGCACAGCATGAAGTTGTCTGGAGTACCCATGGGAGCTACGGACGCGAATAGAATGTCCTTTAAGAAGACATTATGTCTCCATGAAACCCACGACGATGCCACTAAGTCAAGCCGGAGAGGGTCAGCTGCAAGACAATGAAAACATTTCGCCCCTCCCCACCCCCGGATGACTGGAATCTTGCATACTTGAGAGAATGATATATGGTTCCCTTGAAGGCTTCAGTACGTTTGAGGGCTTTGACAGTCAAGTCCTTCTACTGTGACCCGGCAGTGTGTCGCTCATATTCAGTTTTCGGGGGCTGTTCAGACTAGGAAGACGGTTGACTGAGATCCGCTTCCGCATAAAGATTGGCTTGACATGGATGAGGGGCAATATCTGTTGCTAGGGGTGGAAGAAGAAAGTGATATATGGCTCCTATCGTAAGATAATCAACCGAGACTATGTCATGGACACCTAACTCTGGAGAACCGCCCGCTCGCGAACGTGATCCTTCTCAAGCGTCCGCAACGCATCACGTTGTGCCTTATGGATATGATCGTCATGATTCTCAATGATCTCTGCTTGCTTCGTTCCAAGATCTACCATTCCGTAGAACGACTGCAGGCACATCATGTTCATTAAGAACCTCTTCTACTACGGCGCAGATAGACATGGCCTTTCTGCATGTACCCTTCCTACTTCACAGTGATTTTCCCTCCCCATGAAATGCCGGTCTGCTGCGCTACAAGAGGTAACTTCCCACCGTGACAGCTCATACGATGAGGTTGATGCTTCACAAGAAGAACCAAACACGCTGGCTTTTCCTTTCCAGATCCCATCTAGTTCACACGTTGCGGGCGCCGTCTCCAATTTGTCCCTTCTCATGCAATGGTCGATGACCATGCGAAGCACAATATCCCGGGTCGAGCTAGCTGACCTGATCATCGTTTCGTAGAAAGGCATTCACGGGTGGTTTTTGGCGCTGAAAGGCTGGCTTGCTGTGGTTGGTTTGCTGGTCGGCCCCTTTCCTTGGTGCTGCTTGATGATAGACTGTGGGTAATGCATATCAAGCCTCAGACACTGCCACACCCGCCCTATACGGTAATGACGCAGTCCCTCGCGTCGACGAGGTCTCTTCGAACATCTCATGGGTGTCGTTGGGAATTCCAGAACTCTTGCAAATACCGGCGTTGGAAGGAAGCGCAAAAGTAGCAAACCCGGGGTCTGTTGATGCTGAGGATGATGTTCTCAACCAATCTAAGATTATTTGCTCAACTCTCGCCGCCTGTCCGACCTCCTCATGCATCGCCGTTCATACCCTTACTAACATGGATTTGGGAGGCTGTCGTGAGACCCTCGTCGACTCGGATGTCTCCAGCGGTATCACCCAGTTGCAGGCCTTCAACCTGGTGTATCTTGTGAGACTCTCATCTGTGTTTCCCTTGCAGTGCAGCTGCATTATTTTGACTATGAACCTTGTTAGATGTTTCCTTGTGCCCCTGCGAACGGGGAAGCCTCTTGCTACGTTGATCTCTGTCTGGTGGTGAACAGGCACGTTACCTTCATCACGAACCCGCCAAAACACAGCACACCACAAAGTTCGTCTCGCTGCCTTGAGCTACTGCCAACTTCTTCCTTCCACTTGCTTTTCCCTGCCTCCCGTAGACAGGTACCGAACAAATGCAATACGCCGCGCAATACAATGCAGCCACCCTTATAGACAGGTACCGAAATACGCACGTCTCGCTTCTCATCTCTCTCTTCCGTTGCCGGATGTACCACCGTTTGATTGGCAAGTGCAGAACTTTCGCTCCTGCTCTCCCGGCAAACGGGCTCAATTCGGCTAATTCGGCGCCGACCGGTAGGAGCGGACTGCAAACGGCTACCGGCAAAAGCCGTCACGGGGGAAATTTCCCCTGCAGCCTTGCGACATGAGGCTTTCCGCCAAGGGGTCAACGAGTTGCCAACCTGGGCAGCCAATCGTCAGACATGATATTCAACACCCCATAAGTATTCCCCAAAGATGTTTCCCTTAAGTGCCCAAGAGTTCATCAAGTCACTAACTCCCAACACAGGATACCGCATGTATCCCAAGCTGCAGCAGGCTGAGGACCGACCGGTGCCCGCATTTGTGCCACAAATGCCCAGTCTGTCCGTGACTGTTGTACGACGCGGTCCTCGATCTCAGCGGCAGCCCCTCCGTGCACTCCTTTGGCGGCACCGCGCAAGAAATCACGGCGTCTCTCGCCTCTCGACCATCATCACGAAGGTTCTCAGCCCTTGAGCAGCATCTGGGTGTCTTCTAGGCAGAAATCAAGGGCAACTCCTTCCGCCGTCTCGACCGGCACCAGGGGACCCCCTCCCCCGACCGAGGCGCCGATCACATGTTTCTACGGGGCTCAGACTCGTTGACGCCCGGGCTAAGCGAAGAACAGAAGGGCGCGGACAAAATGGGCGCAAGGCGGAAGAAACGGAGGAAACTTCAGACGCGTCCGCCGCAAAGAAGAGCGCGCGCGAGTCGCAGAACGGGGCGGGAGTAATTTGGACATGGCGGAAGATGTGACGAGAGAGTCTGTCACAGTCGGCACAGCAAGGCGGATATGGGAGAGTCGTCCCCCGAGAAGGACATGAGCGCAGTCGGCGCATGACATGGAGTGCGGAAGTCTCGACGGACCCGAGGCAGCGGGAACAGCAGATGCGATGAGAAGGCTGCGGGAACTTGGCGGACCAGGAATACGGACACACATCCGCCGCACGCGGGGAGGTCTGCAGCGTACAATAGCAGTCCCGCGCTGGCTTTCATGCCCAACACACTACAACCAGCTCAGGATCTTAATGACAACGTCCATGTCGAAACCCATTCTTTGTGGTTCACGCCCCGCGGCGACCTGGACTGTGTATCGGCTTCTCCTCGACGGTGTTTATCAGTAGGTGGCCGATACCCTCCGTCACCTCTCAGTCCCGCGTTCTCTCTGGGAGCGACTTGAGTCTAGGGTTGGGAGTGCTTTGTTTTGCGGCGGCAAGTTGCCTTCCGCAAGCCGCCGGTGACTCGGCTGGGTCCTCGATCATTCCATTGAAATGGGCTGCAGCGGAGAAAGCGTCGCGAAGTTCACCCCGAGACAACACGAAGTTACCCGAGAATCCTTCCCCCCTGGCGCGTCAGATACATCGCCATTCTGTCGTGACGAATTTGATCAGCTGTGATAAATGAGACGTACAGGAAGAAATCGGAAGATTCCATGGACACATATCGAACCAACGATACCACTCCTACAGAAGAAGAAATATTTCGGACGACGGACTTCTCTCTACGTTCGCCAAGTCTCCCTTCTGCAGCACCAGAAGCCTCGTAGAGCCGGTAATTCTATGTCTGGTTAGCGAACCAATCGAATCTGGCTCGGGCTGTCTGAGATTCGTGCTATGTTTGGAAGTGGCAGTTCAACAATCGCACTCCCCAAGACGTCTGCTGTCCTGTTGAACTACGGACACAGGTGCCCGTTATCACGAAGAGAAACTTTGGCATCGGAAAGCAGGACGTGTGTATTGGTTTCAATATGATGTTGGAAAA